TGTCAAAATTTCAAAGCAATCGGTAAAGAGGTTTCGAAGATTTCCCCTCACATGAAAAACACTGTTTTTCAGAATAAGCATGTTTTTTTTTTACCGTTACAGACGTGATATCTATATAGTATGTATATAAAAACTTGCTCCGATGCAAATGGAACCCTGTGTGAAAATTTAAAAGCAATCGGTGAAGAATTTTCGGAGATTAACGGTTATGCACAAACGAACATTTCCTTTTTAATTTATATACTAGTTTTAGCCGGCCACGCGATACTGTGCTCAGCAACGCATGTGCGTCTCTGAGTCACAGCAACCTTCCCCTGTCTTCCAGTCCTCCCCACCATTTCCTCCTTCCCTGTCCCCTCGTCCTCCCAACCGTTCCCTAGTTTCCTGTCCCCTTGTCCTCGAAACCATTCCTCACTCTCCCAACCTCTCGTCCTCCCCACCATTCCTCCCCTCTCCCATCTCTTTGTCTTTCTCACCATCCCCCATTCCAGCTTCCCCTCGTCCTCCTAACCATTCTCCACTCCACCGTCTCCTTGCCCTCCTCACCATCTCCCACTTCCCTCTCCCCCCATCCTCCTTACCATTTCCCCCATCCCCTCGTCCTCACCACCATCTCACTCTCCCCTGTCCCCTTGTCCTTTCCACCATTCTCTATTCCCCTGTCCACTCATCCCCAACTCCCCCGTCCTCACCATCCCCAAATCTCCCATCCCCTCATCCCCAACTCCCCTCCCCTCCCTCTTCCTCCCCACCATTCCCTTCTCCCTCGTTCGATGCATTCCCAAATGATCTGATGTTCCCATCAGAAAATTGGGAACATCAAATGATCTAATGTTATCATCACTGAAATAAAAGAAAAACAGTTAAAAAGCGAAATTAAAAAATTAAAAAATAAATCAATAAAATATACATACAAAATGAACGGTATGGTAAACAACACAGCTCAATTTTAACGCAATATCACTTTACCTTGAGGTTACATTGAGGTGTTTCTGGGGCTTAGCTTCCCCGTGCCCCGGTCGTCGACCAGGCCTCCTCGTTGCTGGACTGGTCAACTAGGCTGTTGGATGCGGCTGCTCGCAGCGTGATGTATGAATCACAACTAGGTTGATCAGGTATCGTTTGGCGGTGCTTATCGAGTTCTCTCTTGAACATTGTGAGGGGTCGGCCAGTTATGCCCTTTATGTGTAGCAGAAACGTGTTGAACAGTCACGGGCCTCTGGTGTTGATTGTTCTCTCATGATCACTGTGAGGGGGTCGGCCATTTATGCCCCATATGTGTAGTGGAAGCGTGTTGAACAGTCTTGGGCCAATGATGTTGAGAGTTCTCTCTTGAACACTGTGAGGGGTAAGCCAGTTATGCCCCTTATGTAGTGGAAGCGTGTTGAACAGTCTTGGGCGTCTGATGTTGATAGTTCTCTCGTGAATACTGTGAGGGGGTCAGCCAGTTATACTCCTTATGTGTAGCAGAAGCGTGTTGAACTGGCTCGGGCCTCTGATGTTGATAGTTCTCTCTTGAAAACTGTGATCAGTCGGGCAGTTATGCCCCTTATGTGTAGCGCAAGCGTGTTGAATATTCTCAGGATTCTGATGTTGACAGATTCGTCTCTCAAGGTACCTATGGCACCTCTGCTCTTCGACCGGGGGGTATTCTGCACATCCTGCCATGCCTTCTGTCATGTGATTCAAAATGATTAAATCAAAATGAAAATAAATTTAAATTTATGAAAAATCAATTTCTCAGTGCAATCGGAAGTATTGAAATGGAATTGTTACATATTTAGTAAAGTGTGTGTTGCTCGTATGTGCAACAGATGGTGCTGTTTCTTGAAAAAAGAATGATTTACCTGTCACAGGTGTGGCATCTGTACTTATACTCACGAAATGAATGGCATGGTAAACAACAAAGCTCAATTCCAATGCAATGTCACACAATAAAATTAAATTAAAATGAGATGAAAATAAATCCAAATCTATGAAAATTCCATTTATCAATGCAATCAGAAACATTGAAATAGAATCGTAACATATTTAGTATAGTGTGTGTTGCTCCTACGTGCAACAGATAGCGCTGTTTTTCCAAAAAAGCATGTTTTTACCTGTCACAGGTGTGGCATCTATATAGTAGGTATATATAAAAACATGCGTATATTCGAATGGAACCTTGTGTCAAAAATTTCAAAGCAATCGGTGAAGATCTTTCAGAGATTTCAGTGTGTGTTGCTCTTTCGTCCAACAGATTTCACTGTTTTTCGAAAAAAGCATGTTTTTTCCTGTCACAGATGAGTCACGTATATAGAAGATATATAAAAACACGTGCCTATTCGAATGCAACATAGTGTCAAAATTTCTAAGCAATCGGTAAAGAGGTTTGGAATATTTCTTTCACATGAAAAACAGAGTTTTAAAAAAAAACATGTTTTTTTCCCATCACAGACGTGGCATCTATATAGTATGTATAAAAAAAACCCGCTCGGTTGCGAACGGAACGTTGTGTGAAAATTTTAAAGCAATCAGTGAAGAACTTTAGGAGATTAGCAATTTTGAACAAACGAACATTTAAATTTTTATTTATATAGATATATAATTACATGCTTCTTAACTCTGCTCTTTCTACACGTATATTTTCATATTACTCGCCTGCACAAATGCAACACACACCTACTGACATATCCCCCCCTTATCCTCTCTACCCATATCCCACACACAGATCCAGTCCTACACATTATTCTTCCTGAGGATTAGTACCATGCGGGTGGAGCACTCATCTCACTTTAGGACCACATGCGCGTGCACCCCCGGGGACTCCCCCTAATCCTTGAGGACTAGAGCCGTGTGCAACACCTGAGCAGAAGGGCCTAATTGCTTCACCTGCTCAGGTGTTGCACACGGTTCTAGTCCTCATTTACACTACTACCTCCTAGATCATTCCAACTGTTCGTTTTGTGGAGGACGTCGCCTCCCATTCGGTATCTGGTGTCTGGCCTCTTGTTCCCTGCACCTAGCCTCATTACTTTACATTTATTCGAGTTGAACTTCAGTAGCCATTTGTTGAACTATTCCTTCAGTTTATTTAGGTCATGGTGTCGCCTCTCAGTATCTTTCTCGGTCTTAATCCTCCTCTCAGTTTTGGCATCACCAGCGAAAGTATTGACGAACGAGTCTATTCCTTCTGATAGATAGCTTAAAGATATAAAAAACGGTATAGGTCTAGGGACTTAACCCCTGTGGGACTCCACTAGTGACGTCTTGTCACTCTGAGACCTCACCCCCCTCACAGTGAATAATTTTATTCTGTTGCTTAGGTACTTCTTTATCCATTAGAGTACCTTCCATTTTATTCCTACCTATATCTCTAGCTTTTCTGCCCCCTATTCATATAAACAGGTTTCATTAGCCTATTCTTATAGGAACAGGTTTCATTACCTGTTCCGTTACTGCTATTTTCTTTCGGATGTGGCTGTGCAGCAATTTGGGTTGAGTCTTTGCCTTAATTACAATGTCATCTTTGTACTGATTTTCTGCCTCTCATTTCACCTTGAGGTACTCATTCCTGGCCCTCTGGTACCCTCTGACAAGCAGCCCGTAGCACCTGTTTAACTCCAAGCTACTTATCTATTGCTAGGTGAACAGGACATCTCTTCACATTTGTTTCTGCCTCTGCTCTGATCGAACCCGGGCCCTTAGGACTATGACCCAAGAGGTCACATCACTCTCAGTGGTCACGGCTGAGTAGTTCCATCCATTCAGCTGCAAGGCCATCAGCCCTGTGAACTCACCTAGTTGTACTTGCAGGGGTTGAGCTCTGACTCTTTGGTTCCCACCTCTCAACTGTCACTCAGCTGGTGTACAGATTCCTGAGCCTAATGGGCTCTATCATATCTACATTTGAAACTGTGTATGACTTCTTAACGCTAACATTTTATATAATTTGTTGAGTGAGATATTTAAATATATATCATAGATCTAACTTTTCAATGAAATGGTAAATTTCTCAAAAAAATCAACACAATGGAAAGGTTTAATTATGCTTGAGGTTTCATGTTATATCTGGCAATTTCAGAGGAATAATTATTTTAGCCTCCTCCAACCCCCAGGTAAAGCGACGGTTTCGTTTCATGCTGGTCAGTCACAGTAGCCGTCACAACGGCAAGAAAAATGACAGGTTGGATAACAAGAACTTTTCACACTAGAGATGCTATACCGATGATAATACTTTTCAAAACGCTCGAGTGGAGTACTGCTGCACAATGACAGCCCCTTTCAAAGCTGGAGAAATTGCTGACCTGGAGAGCGTGCAGAGATCCTTTACTGCTAGAATCCACTCAGTAAAACATCTAAATTACTGGGACCGACTAAAGAGCCTAAATCTGTACTCCCTTGAGCGCAGACGGGTGAGATACATAATAATTTACACGTGGAAAATAATTGAGGGGCTGGTCCCAAACCTGCACACGGAAATAACATCACATGAGACCAGAAGACATAGCAGGATGTGCAGAATACTCCCGTTGAAAAGCGGAGGTGCAACAGGTACTCTGAGAGAGAACTCTATCAACATCAGAGGCCCGAGACTGTTCAACTCGCTTCCACTACACATAAGGGGCATAACTGGCCGACCCCTCACAGTGTTCAAGAGAGAACCGGATAAGCACCTCCAAAGGATACCTGATCAACCAGGCTGTGACTCATACGTCAGGCTGCGAGCAGCCGCGTCTAACAGCCTGGTTGATCAGTCCAGCAACCAGGAGGCCTGGTCGACGACCGGGCCGCGGGGACACTAAGCCCCGGAAGCACCTCAAGGCAAGGTAAAGGTAGGTCGGCGTTTAATCCCCGACCGTCCAAGTGGTTAGTACCATTTCTTCCTCCTGCCTCGTCCCAAATCCTTATCCTGACCCTTTTCAAGTGCTATATAGTCATAATGACTTGGAGCTTTTTCCTGATAGTTCCCTTCCCTTGTGTTGTCAAGGTCATGAATACCTAAATGATCTTGAACCTACGAAAAGTTCATTCCTTGAGCCAAGTAGTCCAACATATCGTTTATACGGCGCCCCTCACTGCGGGCCTTCTTCTCTTGCTTGTAATATAGCGGTCCAGTCGCTGCTAGCAACGTCGGCTGTTGCCTGAACCTGAGAAAGATGAGGACCTTAGCGTTATTGCACAATGTTGCAGGGTCAACTGCTTATTTTTTAATGCCTGGTTTGTATTTTTCCTAGCTGAGAATACTACGAATTCCAGTATTCCTCACTTATATCAAAAAGAAAATATCTCTAAAATGACCTTTGATACTAATAATGGAAATCACAATAATGTAATTTAGCTATGAGAAAGTCTTTGGAGCAGAGTATAAGAATCAGCACAACCCCCAAGACCACCGCAAATGCACACCTTACCCTTAGAGTCTGAGGTGGCCCACTGTGCTGTTTTCATTTCAGAACTGACCTGCTCCAAACATTTTCATACATATATATCACGTTGTTGGGATTTCATTACTTATAATAAAAGTTATTGACAGGTAATCTCAGTAGCTCATAATCTAACTGCAACATTGAAGGTTACTTCACATAAGAAGTAAGTCCTAGATACAAGATAGGGCTGAGAATTCACTTGGTGTATTTGTCAGGAAAGATGGAAATGTTGGTGGTGAGAGTGAGACCAAGCTCGGGTGTCCAGGAGGCGAGTAGAACTGGCGGGTCCCCTGGAGAGGTATAGGGCAGGTACATGTAGATTCTGCACCTGTCAATCATATTTCTCATGCATCATGTCCATACTACCCAATAGTCTTTTCATATGCTTGCTTCAATCAGAGTGTTACATATAAAACAAAATTAGCTTTAAACCGTTACATTCAAATGCTTATTAAGACTTATCGCAAAGTTCTTTCGATACCTGGTAATTAGGGGAATATCTTCCACAATAAGCAACATGGAGTTAGTCTTGGAGTAGGTCCCGTGGAGGACCTGCAGGTGCCGGAGAGGGAGGCGGGTGACGGCGAGAAGCCTAGTCGACCACACCAGCAGGCGTCCCTTGAGGGACCACTGGGCGAAGGCGGCGAGGAAGGCGAGGTCGTCGCTCACCACCACCACCGTCACGCACCACGACACCTGCCGCAGCTGTTGACGTCAACATGGTAGACGTTATGTGGGAGTGACCTGCCTGCCTCAGCAGTGATGTGAGAGTGACCTGCCTGCCACAGTAGTGGTGTGACAGTGACCTTCCCGCCTCAGTAGTTGTGTAAGAGTGACCAGCCAGCCTTTTAACAGTATCTTAAACAGTATCTTCATTCTGCATAAATGCAGATGACAGTCATTTGATCTTAGATGACCTTATAATTCATAATTTCAACATTTAATTGATGTTTCCATGATGACAGACTAATTACTTAGTTTCATATCTGTTTCATTGATAGGGGACATCCGTCATGTACTTACTAACGTACTAACTTACTAACAAGTAATGAATATAACTTCAGGGGAGAGTAACAGGTCCGTTAGTACTAATTTCTCGCCCCGAAGTTATGTTGGAAATTTCCAACACCCAAATATTTACCCCTAGTGCTATTAGAGGTATTTCTTGCACTAGGAATAATAATTTACTAACACTACTAACAAATAGTGTAACAACATTAATTCTAATTATTCTGCGATATAGCTATTCCAAATTTTTACCAGCATCCATGGTGCTTATTGCGTCAGCTACGCAGCCAGGGAGAATAATTTCCGCATGTTTACATATTGAATTAAATCCAATCTAACCTTGCATTATTTATCAAGAAACATCGATTAGTAATAGATTTTTTTTATTTGGCATTTTATATAACTGTTTATTGGAAATATTTTATACAGTTACGATCAGCTGTCACAGTGAACAAAGCGATGAACTGAATTTTCACTCTATATATTCTCGCCCATTTTAATTAACATCATTTAATTTAAATTGTTTGCGCAGCGAGAAACAATTGGCTGTCGTAGAAGGCACATTATTATGACATAATTTAACGTCAACCATATCTTCTTCCTTTCAGAACGTTGGATAAAATATTACGATAATTTCCTGAGTTCCAACATTCGGCGCTAGGGCACATGCACCACCGCATTGAGTAAGAGACTTGGTACAGACAGCCGCCATCATTAACCCTTAGACCGTGCAAAACATATATAGATGATCTGCCCGAAACGCTTTGCGTAATAGTGGCTTTAGGCATTGTATGTACTAGCTCTATCTATAAAGCCAACAAACTTTGTAAAATCTCTTTATGTATGTACCTTACCTAAATAAAATTATTATTATTATTATTATTATTATTATTATTATTATATTATTATTTGAGTAACAAAACCGGAACCGTGCAATATATTAATAGCTGTTTTCGTGTCTAGCGCTATAATTTAAACGCTTCGCGTGGGATAGGGGCAGTCATCGACGAGCCGCATCCAACCATTAACAAATGCTACTTGGGAAAAAAGCCAGCGTAGGCCGCCATTGTGTACAGGACTCAGTTACACCATGGCGAGCGACCTAGGATGATGCCCGCCTCAGTAGTGATGTGAAAGTGACCTGCCTGCCTCAGTAGTGATGTGAGATTCACCTGCCCGCCTCAGTAGTGAAGTGAGAGTGACCTGCCCGCCTCAGTAGTGATGTGAGAATGACCTGCCCGCCTCAGTAGTGATGTGAGAGTGACCTGCCTGCCTCAGTAGTGAAGTGAGAGTGACCTGCCCGCCTCAGTAGTGATGTGAGAGTGACCTGTCCGCCTCAGTAGTGAAGTGAGAGTGACCTGCCCGCCTCAGTCGTAATGTGAGAGTGACCTGCCCAACTCAGTAGTGAAGTGAGAGTGACCTGCCTGCCTCAGTAGTGATGTGAGAGTGACCTGCCCAACTCAGTAGTGATGTGAGAGTGACCTGCCCAACTCAGTAGTGACATGAGAGTGACCTACTGACTCTCTAGAAAGCGAGTCAGTACTCCATTTTACCCATGAGTGAAATGAGTGAAAGAGTGAAATTAATTAACAGTCTGTCTTTCCTGGATTTACTAATAACAAAACCAGGAGCCTCTCTAAGAACCTGTGTATATACTAAGCCAACAAACATAGGATTATGCCTAAATGGTAGGAGTGAGTGCCCCAAAAGATTCAAAACCAGTGTTCTCAACACTTATATTCGTCGAGCTCTTACCCACTCCACTGACTGGAGCAACGTGAGTAGGGAGTTTGAAAGAATAATCCAGGTGTTAGTGTACAATGGATATAGAAACACAAATAAACACTACAATAAGAAGACACCTGGATCGATGGTACAATCCTGAACCAAGAACAAAAACTACAACACCTCCAATAAAATTATAATTACAAATCATATACACAAGTTGTACACCAGTTGTAAACCAGTTATACACCAGTTGCAGAGTGCCCCTGGCAGTATGGGTTCGAGTCACTTCTGGAGTTTGAAGTTTTCAGGTGCATATATGCCTGGGGATCATTCAGGCTTGTTCGCATTTGTGTTGCTCACGCGGTCCCCAAAAATGAGATTTGATAAAATAACAATGCCCAAGATTACCATCAAAGAGCCATCGGGATGAGGGCAAATAGCCTAGGCTACCATCATCTTTTGTACGGTCGTGATGATCGAATTGTTAAGTTCTCCTGTACACCAGTTACATAATGCTTCTGGCAATATGGGTTCGAGTCACTTTTGAGGTTTGTAGTTTTCAGTTGCATATATGTCTGGGGACCATTCAGGCTTGTTCGTATTTGTGTTGATCATGTGGCCCCAAAAAATGAGGTAATATGATAAAATAACGATGCCCAAGATTACCATCAAAGTGCGAACAGATGATTAGCAAATAACCTCAGCTACCATCATCTTTTGTACGTAGACGATGGTTGAGTGGTTAAGGTCTCCTGTACACCGCATAGTGCTCCTGGCAGTATGGGCTCGAGTCACTTTTGGGGTTTGGAGTTTTCAGTTATACATACATATATATATATATATATATATATATATATATATATATATATATATATATATATATATATATATATATATATATATATATATATATATTGTGACGATAATCTCTTTCAAGAGAGATTGAGCCTGCTCTTCTCTACATGAAGTTACGTAATTTATTCAAGAATAAGATGCTACCTTCCTTCAAGATACGTCTCCCAGTAGCACAAAACGTTTTGACCAGGAGGCAAAACGTATCCAAGACCCCCCTACTCCTCTCCCTCCACGCTGGCTCGTCATCAACCAGCCAACTACCCTTCCCAGCCTGCCTGCTCCTGATTGGTGACTCGCCCACTGCACACCTGCACACTGCAACTCAGCACCCTCTACCTGAGTCGATGTCTGGGCTTGGTCCAGCCATTGAAGTCAGAATATCCTTGTGCTCTCAAGCAGTGAACAACTAACTGATATATGTGTATCAGCTAGCGCCATATTCTCAGCACCGAATTATTTTTCACCTTTAAACGTTATATTATTGTAGAGTAGCTTCATTCCATTTATTCATTTATGTTATATTGTTTTTGACTTGTTCTTTTGCACTGTACATTGCCAAGGTATTGTCTTTGTTTATATTCGTTTTCTAGATTAATTAAAGTTTCATTGTTCATATTTTATGTTTTGCGTGTCTTCCCTTACTTTACCACAGACAGATAAAAAACAGGCAAGCAGTCTATCTTTTTTTTTTAAGTGTGACTAGGCATTGACACCTGCCACTGGAGGACTGCCAAACATCTACACTCCAACACTTTCCCGTCACATTTAACGGGGGCCTGTCCGGGTAATTCACTCAGGTACTAGTACCAGAACGTCAATTTGTGGTAAGTGTATTTGGCTTTGATACAGTTGCTTTTCAATATTTTCATTACTTTTAATATTTATATGGTGCTGTGTGTATTGTGCATTCCGAGAGTAGCATATAGTGAGTGTTGGATAACTTTGGATTACGTGGTGACTGTAGGCCTCAGTCATTCTCTTAATTGGTCATCCCTCCATCCGTGTTATTACTCGTGTTTTCCACCTTTTGTCCCTAGGATATTTCTCAATCTCAGACAGATCATCATTTTGGGTAGCCTGGTACTTTGGTTTATCTTCAGGTCAAAGCACCCTATCTTCTGGAATCCGACCGAAGGAGGATAAAGAGGGCCATAGTTCCTCTAGCACGGACTACATTGCTGAGTTAGGACCTCAGCAGCAGTTCTCGTCACCAGTTGACACTTGCACCCCTACACGTCGGTCAGAGATGATGATATTTACTTAGGTATGGAATTAGCTTTCTTTTTTCAGAGCACAAAGTTCGCTAATTCTGTATCATATTTCATATAGTGGGAAAACCCTTGCTTCTGTCCTATAGAGACTCGGCAAGGTAAGCCTACATTCTTGGACTACTTTATTCACTTTTGGAACAATTAAATGTTTCATTTGTTTTAGAAACTCAGTTTCATTTATTTAGTAGGATTTTCTTGCCCTTATTCTCTTACATTGAGTACCGGGTACAAGATTTTCTGCGATTTTGATTGACAAATCATTTACCATTCTAAAATTAACATAAATTGTTAAATATTAAATTCCACAGGATAGTTATCAGTTGCCACGTTATCCTGTTACTGACACTTACCATATCACATGTATTCGTTGTACATTTATTTGCTATTTTTCACCATGTTTCGTCTCCATGCTTTTCGTAACGATCCAGCAGGTGAAATAGGAACCTTAAGTCGTGCCAAGAGGACCGAATTACAAACAGTTGCACACGAGTATCAACTAGATGTCCCCCATGGAACCAACAAAAATGAATTGCATAACTTAATAATGGATCACCTCTTAGATATAGCGAAGATTGACTCTGAAACTCACGAAACTTATTCTATTGCAGATAAACATGATCTGGCAACTATAAAACTCAAGCTCGAACTTGCAAAACTCGAGCGGGAGCAACAGCAAGAAGCTCTCCACATGAGGGAACGCGAGGCCGCAATCAGGAAAGAAGAGCAAGAAAGAGAGGCGGCCCTGGCGAAAGAAGTTCTACAACTGAGGGAAAGAGAAGCTGCAATGAGGAAAGAAGAGCAAGAACGTGAGATGGCCCTATTCAGAGAGCGTGAGCGAGTACAGCTTGA